ACCACTGTGGAAATCAGTATGGAGATACCTCAAAGAACTAGGACTATCGTCCCATTTGACTCAGTTATTCCCCTGCTGGATATCTTCCCAAAGAATTAAAAGAATCATATCACAGTGATATATCTGCACCCATGTTCATAGCAGCACAATTTATAATAGCTAAAACTTGGAAGCAGTCCAAATGCCCACCATCTGGAGACTGGTTAAAGAAAATGTGGTTTTTCCATAATATGGACTACCCAGTCATAAAAAATGAGAAATTAGAGACATTTATAGCTAAATGGATGCACATTGAGGTGGCACTCTTAAGTGAAATAAATAGGACACACATCTGTAAATACCAAATAGTTTCTCTACTATGAGAAACTGAAAGTGTTAATAAGGACTAAAAGGTATAATAGATAATGTGAAATAGGAAGAAAAGGGGCAAAGGTGAAGTGGGAGGGGTAGGGGAAAGGAAAGAAGGGAATGGAATTAATATGAGGAAAAACTGGAATCAAAGTCTTTGTAAATAGGGAGGGATGGAGGGGTTGAAGGGAGGGCAGGGGAAGGGGGAAAAATAAGAACCAAGAGAGTATATAAAGGTGCAAATTTCCAGTGATGAATGTCATTATATTGTATACCTAAAATGTACCAATAAAATAGATTTTTTTAAATGGCCATCCTCTAAAACTGTTACACAGGTTCAATGCATTCCAATCAAGAGACCAACAGAATACTTTACATAACTAGAGAAAACAATCCTAAAATTTATATGGAACTGGAACAGACCCAGAATATCAAAAGCAACTTTGAGCAACATGAGCAAAGTAGGAGGTCTTACAATACAAGACTTCAAGCTTTACTTCAATCAATAGTGATAAAAATGGCATGAAACTGGAACAAAAACAGATACAAGGATCAGTGGAACAGAAAAGAGGATATAGAAGCCTCCCAAGACACATCAAGTGATTTGATTTGACAAAGGGGCTAAAAGCGGACAGTGGAGGAATAAGTGGTGATGGGAAAATTGGTTATCTGTTTGCTGAATATTGAAACTGGACCCAGATCTCTCACTTCTCTGTGTACTAAATGAAAATCAAAATGGATCAACGATCTAAAATTTAAAACAGAAGCATTAGACTTTCTGGAAGAAAAAATAGGTAAAACAGTTGAAGGTATAGGTATAGGAAAGGACTTTCTAAACAGAACCTCAATTGCACAAAAAATAACTGCAAGAATCAACAAATGGGATTACATCAGACTAAAAAGGTCTACATGGCAAAAATAATCAATCTGCAGAGTGAAGAGGCAACCTAAATAATGGTAACAAAATTTTGTCAGCTACTCCTCAGACAGAGGACTAATATCTAGAACATCTAAAGGACTCTGGGAAATGTTCTGGTTGATGTTGATCATCAATTTTACTTGATTAAGAGACTTGTGGGGAGGAGGCTGGGGTGTAAGTACACTACCTTAATCAATGGGTTAGGTGGGTCTGTATGGAGGAGGTAGGGGTGGGATCCTAAGTAAAAAAATCCAGCACAAAAATATCCATAAAACATAATGTAAGTCATATTTTGAAACTTAAAAAAAGTGATGTTATGGAAGTTGAGTAGACTGGTGATAACTAAACAGTGCAGAATAGGGAAGATGGAGACGGGAATGGCTGATAAATGTGTAGGAAGTTACAGTGGGAGAAGGGCAGAATGTCTGTTGTGTGCCAAGGGGGTAAATATACTTTAATAATAATGATAATGATAATAATAATAATAATAATAATAATGCACTGTACAATTCCAGTAGAGCAAATAATTTTTAAAGTTTTCCTCATACAGAGCTGTCATAGAGAAAGATAAACTTGTGTCATTTGCAGAAAAATGGCTGCACTGAGACCATAATATTAAGTGAAATAAATCAGATGCACAAGCTTAAATATCACACGGTTGCTCTTATCTGAGAAACCTAAATTATAAATAAATCAAAGAGCATGATAAAAGGTAGATAATAAAAAACAAGGAGATCGATCTTTTGCAAAGCAGAAGGGAAACTCTTTAAAATGCATGAAATCATCATGTACTGCAAATAGGGACTAATAAAAATAAAAACAAAAATGACCAAATTTCACCCTATGAAAAAAATGTTGAATGCTGGAAGAGATAAATCTGTTCAATTTAATTTAACCATTACAAAAGTATATGGGAATTGAAACCTCATGTGATAGCTTATGTTTCGTACAATGTTATTTTTTGTATTAGTTAAAATAAGTTTAATGGAAAAACAAAACTTGTGATGTTGAGTGGAGAGCAGTTGATGTCTTTGAAATAAGGAACACGTAGCAGCTGCAAAGACAAGCTGAGAAGCCACTTGCGGTATTTATGATCTTGCCCTGACCCAGCACAGAAACAGCGAGGGCTGCGGAGGAGCCAAGCAGGTGTCCCTGAAGGAAACGTCATCTGGACCCTAGAACATGACAGCCTGGTATTTTCTGCATTTGTCCACAGATTTCAAAGATGTGCATGATATGGCAAAAATAACTCCAAGTTTAAAAGCACATAATTGCTTTAATTTCCCTCAAGAAAGTGTGTTCCATCCAATCTCATTTCTAAGTCCACTCTTCCTTCCGTCGTGACACTGCTGCTGAGATTTGTAAGCTGCAGTCCTCATTGTGCTTTCTATCTGGCCCTTGTTAGAAGAGATAACTATATGTCATCAGAGCAATGCGGTCCTATCAGTCTGTCAAGGGAAGGAGGTGGAGAAGGGTAGAAGCCCAGAACCGGAAGTGACATAAGAAAGGACAGTTCCTTTTAAAGTGAACCCAACCAAAGTGGAGATTTGGACGTACAACTAGGCATAGAGACACTGCTGAGTCCTAACCCAACCTGACTCAGAGCCGCAGAGGCAGAGCCAGGTCTCTTCTCCAAGGGTTTAAAGCCAGGTAAGAGTGTGCTTTCTCTGGGCTCTAAAGTTCTGGTGACAATTGAGTATCTCTTCCTTGTTATTCCCCAATATCAAGAGCAATAACTACTTCCAACAATTAGTCATTCGTAAATTAGCATCTAGTATTCCACTTGCACTCTTACAGGCTTCTACAATACATCATTCTTTATTTTGAATTTTGGTGGGTTTGTCTTCCTCAGGGGAGCCTGACTAATTCAATGCTCACAACAATGTAGGACACTTTTGAGCCAATTCTCAATTCTTGGAGGTTTTTTTACATAATGTAAATCCATATATCATTCTCAATATGCATTGTCTACTTTTCCATCCATGTGATAAAAAGAAAAAAAAGAATTTATCATCAGTGATAATAAAGTAAGTTAAACAGCCCCATAAAGGCTGCATTTAAACACACCATAAATATTTTAATATATCAATTTAATAAAATGCTATAAAGTTAGCATATTAGCCATAATTAAAACACCTGAATAGTTCCATGCTGATACGATACAACAAATATAGCAGATCTTGCTTGTTTTGTTATTTATGTGATAGCCAATACCCAATATCCATCCAAAATATCATTTCTTATATTTTTTTAATTTTTACATTCAGTAATTATTTAGATGATTCTATATATAATAATGTGCATGAAGTGAATATATTAATATTGATCAAAAGTTGAAAATAATTTTATAATACTACATAATTTTATTGGCCTTAGAGAAACATGCACCACATGTTGTTTTTTTAATCCCCTAGTAAAATACATAGAAATGTATTCTTCCTCTCTATTGGTGAATATTTGGGATTTTATCCAGAATCATTGAGTAAAGAGAAGGAAAAGACCATACTAGTTATGAAACAAAATGAGTTATTAAGGTAAAATGGCTGATATTTTTAACCTGCAATGTTAAATGGCTTGAAGCATGGTTTTCATTTTATTTTGAAGATGTTTGTGTTGGTAGTTAGGTTTCAACACTTAAAATAACTACAAACACATATTGTAATGCAAATGAAATTTCTGTTGAGGAAAGTTCAGAGTTTATATTCATTTTCATTTTTTAAAAATACATACAGATTGGGGATATTTCCCATAGAATAATAGCACACCATGAAACACATGTTAAGCAATTACTTTTTAAATCTGTTTCAACATAACAGATTTGCTATTATCCAATGTATGACTTCTGAGACTTTGATTCAGTCTATTACAGATTACCACAATATTATACTAGAGTTGCTTTAAAAACATTTTAGGATATAGATCATATTTTATTTAAGTACCAATTAACTGGTATACACTACACCACACACACACACACACACACACACACAAATACACGCATGCACATAACATTTGTATCACTTTAGGTCAATGAAATATTTGTTGAACCAGAGTCAGCATTACACTTTTGTCTGTTTGATTTTATTTTTGAAGTTTTTTTCTGAATAAAACTCCTTCCTCGTTGGAATGTACCTCCAAATAGACTCTGATCATTCTCTTTTCCATGGGGCAGTTCATGTAGTACCTCAATGGTTTTGAACATCCCTTCTCTTAAGCTTTCTATGGTACCTATTATTTTCTGACCCTTACAGTGACCACTTACTTCATAGGACTGAGAGTTTAGTCCACTCCTTAGGTCTTACATAAAATAGGGATAGAAATAAAATTTACTGAGTTATTTGAGTCATATCATGTGATATACATGCTATCCTTTAATTTTCACAATCATTATGAGTCATCTCACACTATTTCAACATTGTAGATGAAATATTAACAATGAAGGCAGCATGGCCATTCACACATATAATACCAGAGCTGTGGGAGGCTGAAACAGTATAGCAAATATGAGCCCATCCTGAAGAACCTACTGAGATCTTTCATCAGAATAAAAAAGAAAGATTTCCAGTGGATTCCAACAAGAAAAGAAAACAGCCAAGTTTATTCACTTAAAAGCAAAATCCATTTACATTCAATTTTACAATATTAACTCTTAAATTAATGCCATGCTTAAAATGAAATTTATGTTCAATTTTTTTTTGAAATTTATATGCAAAACTCCATGAAAATATCATTCTCAATTAGAAAATACTTTAGTGTCCATTATTTTTCGGACTGTATTCTTTACATCCTTATTTCTCAGACAGTAGATCAGGGGATTCAGCATGGGGATCACCACTGTGTAAAACACGGAGGCCACTTTGACCGTGTGCCTGGAGTTCTTGGAGCTGGGCACACAGTAGAGGAACAGGATGGTGCCGTGGAAGATGCTGATGGCCGTCAGGTGGGAGGCGCAGGTGGAGAAAGCCTTGCGCCGCCCACTGGCTGAACGCATCTTGAGGATGGTAACCAGGATGAACAGGTACGACAAGAGAATGATGAGGAGTGTGCTGACTTCATTGAAAGTGGCAAAAATAAAGAGCAGCAAGTGGTTGATGTGAGTGTCAGAGCTAGAGAGGGAAAGCAGTGAGGAGAACTCACAGAAGAAGTGATTGATGATGTTGAAGCCATGAAAAGATAATTGCAAGGCGGAGCATGTTAGTAGCAAAGAACAGGCCACCCCCCATGAATACGACCCCACCACCAGCATGGCACAGAGCTTCTGTGACATGGCGACTGTGTAGAGGAGGGGGCTGCAGATGGCCACAAAGCGGTCATAGGCCATCGCTGCTAGTAAAAAGGATTCTGTAACCACGAACGTGCAAAAGAAAAAGAACTGTACTACACATCCTAAAAATGAAATGGTTCTGTCTTTTAACACTAGGTTCACCAGCGTCTTGGGTGCAATGATGGAGGAGTAGCATAAATCCACAAATGAGAGGTGGCTGAGGAAAAAATACATGGGGGTGTGCAGTTTGGGGTTAACTTTGATGATCACAATCATCCCGATATTTCCTACCACAGTCACGCTGTAGATGGCCAGAAAAATCAAGAAGAGTGGTACTTGCAGTTCTGGAACATCTGAGAAACCCAAGAGGATGAACGTGGCCACACTTAGGTTTCTATCCGATGGCAGCATTGTTTCTCTTTGTCAGAATATGAAAGTTAATCCTGAAAATGAAAATAATAACAGAGTGATAAAATAGGAAACTTCATTCTCTTCTCTCACAAAGAAAAATATTTCTTTCAGAATCACTATTTGTTACTCCACACTAGCTCATCTCCATAACGCTACATTTCCATAAATGCAAAAATATAACAATCATTTTCCAGTTCCTAAGAAAAATTATTAAATCAAAATTTCTGTATGGTAAATTTAATATTACAAGTACAGGCAATTGATATACAAGTACAGTACATGCATGCATTTATGTATATTTTGGATGAAATATTCAAAGAGAACCTTCAGCTGTGTTTGTCCATTGTAAATTTATAAAATATAAACAACATAATATGCCGAGTTCTTTTCTCAACTCTGGAATATGTAATGAAAATCAGAAATTTCTAAACTATTTGTTCATAAATTGTCGCATAGTGACATTAGTATTGAGTCCAAACACTTCACTTGTGCCTTTATATTTAATTTACATACATTACTTAAATCTATCTATGCCTAACACAATAAATGTGGCACCAAAATAAATCTTAAATTTTTAAGAAAGTATGCTTTTCAGCTGATGAATTCTAATTATTATTGTTTCCTCATTTACTGTAGGATAATAAAATTGGACTTTAAAAGTTGTCTAGTTCATTCTAGATCCAGGGAAACCTTGATTTTCCCAGTAGTAAACAGCCAAAGAACAATCAGCACAGTCATGAGGAAAACGAGGTCTTAGATTCTTGGTAACACACCAGTCATCTACCACCTGATCATAACTATTGGTTCAGATATTGACTTGTTTCTTTTATTAGTAATCGTATTTGCAGTTAATGAACAAACTAGAGACCTTAATCTTAAGGAAACGGTACTATCACGTTGCACATGGTATGCTAGGAACCAGCACCAAGATGAAATACATAAAAGTATAATTTAGGGAACTTTTCTTGTCTAGGAATATCTAAGTAAATTTCTCTTTTCTGGGTCTCTCCCTCTCTCCCTACCCCCCCCACAATCTCTCCTGCCTCTTCCCTCACCCCCTCTGTAGAACATTTAGTATATTCATTCTTTCCTTATGTCACCAGGGAAGGAGAAATGGTAAGTAACCCTTTTAGGGAGTACTGCAATATAAAGATATTTCGTGAAAAAGAGTAATACAAAAGAATCATTCTATTTCATTCATTGATACTAATACCATTCATTTCCTACCATGTCCGGAATCTTTTTGCCTTATGACAAGCAAAGTTATCTCCAGTGACATAGTCCTGAAAGTAATTCAGATAGCCCACCAATAAAGATGTCAGACCTTAAGCATAACTGAGACATTCCACCGCCCCTGTTCCTCCACTTGTGAATTTCTCTATAAAAGATATTCCTAAACCCAGATATTCTAATTATCCCATTTTTTCTTACTATCTCATTTTATTTATCCAAGGCATTAAATACTGTTTTTAACTAATGTTAAATATTATGTATTGGATCTTGTCTCTCAAATGTTATTATTACATTCCTGATAAAAGTTTCCATTATTTCAGCTCAGGAAAAATGGTAGCTGATATCTTCTTCCCTGTAGCTGTTTTTATCTCCTAATATGCTTATTATGTTTGCTACCAGAGATCACATTTATTTCCTCTTTTGTCATCTTAATTGAAGTTAGTCCCTTTATTTTTTCACCAGTCTCTGTTTTTTCACCAGTCTCTTCAGTCATTGTTCATCTAATTTTACTTAAACATTTATATATTCTATTTCTACTACTCCTCCAAAAGTTACAACAGTGAAGTCAGACACAATCCAAAAATTCTCAGTGGTCTTTTATCTCCCTCCCAGGAACATATTTTTCATGGAATTTTTGATGAACTTAGCTCTTGGCCCTTTAGTACAAAATCCACATAAATGTGAACTACCTAATCCTTCCTGTTCACAGTTATTTCTCACGTCCTGTCTAGTTCTCTAGACTTTCCTTCTTCTCAAGTAGATTTCTGTCTTAAAATTAATATTAAGTCGCATTTAGAATTTTAGCACAAACCCGTTGGTGTCAAAGCAGGACCTCTCCTGGTGGAGAGTGATATCTGCATTCTTATATGTATAGTTCAGACCTTGGAGAAAGGAGCCCCAGAGACTATTTAGAGCTTCAATCTCTTGAGGCCATAACACAAACAATTAAAATTAATCACTGAAATCTGATGCAATTCCAACACAGTGAAACCTGGAGAAATTTTAGGGATATCAGGAGAATGTCCTATAAAAGTTATAGCAGCATTTGTACCTTTCTGTGAAATAATTTATGTATGAATGTCACTTTCCCCAGACCCCTGAATACTGATATATGCTCCCAATTTCACTTACAAAAATTTATGTTTGTTTGTTTTGAGACAGAGTCTCACTGTGTAGTTCAAGCTGGCCTTGAATGCACTATGTAGCCCAGGTTGGCCTGAGAATTGTGGTGATCCTCCTGCCTCAGCCTCCCAAGTGCTGGGATTACAGGTGTGCACCACCACACCTGGCTCAATTATGAAAATATATGTACATATAAGAATCACTGTTATGCGATATTGACTCGGTGTCTATTATGTGCCACAACATTCTTCCTCCAATCATCTTGGAGGAATGTGCATACCTGGATTTCAGATCAGCTTGGAAAAATACTTTACTGAGAGTTAAATCAGAAATATTTACAAAGGTAAATATTCAAGTTCAGAAATTATCTAATCCTTGTTAAATCCCTGTCCTATTTATATTCCTTTTACTTACTGTGTGCTGGTTGCTGTGTCCTGTATTCAGATTGTTTGAACATTGTTTCTTTAAACATTACCACACCCTCTCTTCACACCCTGGAGTCTTCTCTAATCTCTCTTCTTAGTAAAACTTTCTATGAGGCAGCTCTCAAACCCCAGTGGCTACCCTGCTCCCCACATTAGTATTTAAAGTACTAAGCACAATTACAACATTTATTAAATTATATTTTACTGTGTCTGTTTTAGGCTGTTTCCTATTGCTAAAATAAAATGTCTAGTAAAGTAGAAAATCAGTTGTTTATTTCACTCATATATGCTGAGTTCCTGGATTAGTAACTAGTACCACATGTACCATGACTAATTTTTGAATAATAAACAAGACCTTTCTTGTAACCCAGATGGATCCTAGCCTACCAGAAATGAGGGAAATAAAGAATGCACACAGAACGGGCCTGGGGTTTAGCTCAGTGGTTCCACCAGCTGCCTCGCAAGTGCAAGGACCTGAGTTCAAGGCCTGGTACCAAAAAAAAAATCCACACAGAAGATGTTATACACACACACATGTACACGTGTATGCACACACACATTTAGACACACACAAATGCACACAATCCGAATGTTCACATGTCAATTGATTACTTAAAATATATACAATTATAATTACCTCATAAAAAATGAAAAAATAAACAGTTAAAATGAAACAAAATAAATCTGCTCTTCTGATTTTCCTTTCTAGTCAAGTTCACCAAAATAGAAATGATTAAATACAACACATGGAAATTAGTTGTGAATGGAATTATTCTCAATTATTCTACTGTAAAAAAATCTTAAAAGTAGCTTCACTGAAGTGTTAGTGAGTCCATTCCTTAAGTAGCATATTCGAAATCTATTTATATTTTTATTTTAAAGAGTACACATTCTAAAATCTTAATTACTATTTCACGAACTTTGCTTTCTGGTGTAAGAAACAGATAGAAAGTTGAGTACACAATGAGAATATATAATTAGAATTACTCTTTTATATATTCATTCATTCATTCATTCAACAAATATTTATGACAGACTTCCTCAGAGCCAGGTACTGGCTTACTATTGGGAATAGGAGAGAGAATGCACCTTTGTTCACTAGTTTATATTTAAAGGAGGGTGCAGAATACAAGTATTATTTTCTAGTAATTTTTTAAAGGATGTAAGTAGAGGTATTTTTTTCTCCTTTTCTTTCTTCTCTTTAATCTTCCTTTTCTTCTTTTTTTCTACCCTATTACTTTTTGTAAATTCATTAAGTTTATTGGTACATTCTAGGTATACATTATGATCCTATTCATCATAGAGAATTTGTACCTGTACATGATGTATTTTTGTGCTTATTTTTTCCATTGTCTTTTCCTCCCTTCAATCCCTCCACCTCTTCCTGTTTACAAAGACTTTGTTTCCTTTTTCTCTTTCTTTTCTCATTTTTTTCCCTGTGTGTGTGTGTGTGTGTGTGTGTGTGTGTGTGTGTGTGTGTGTGTGTGCATGTGCGATCCTGGGGATTTTAACAGGGCCTTCACACCGAGCTCCATACCCAGCCACTCCCCTCCCCTCCCCTGTTTGTTTTGAGACAGGGTCAGTTGCTAGGCTGACCAGCCTGAGCTGGGTCTTGGATCCACTTGCTTTCGCCCTCTAATGTGCTGGGATTATAGAGGTGCGGCACTACCCCTGGCCTGGAGGTGTCATTGTTAAGTACGGTGGTCAGACAAGGTCACAGTAAGATTTGTGAGATAAGAAGTGAGTATATGCAACATCTTGGGGGGAAAAGTGAGTTTGTTACAAGGGAAGAGCAAAGACATTGATTTTGAAGTAGAAGTTCACATTCTTATGCATCAGCCACTCTGCTGGAGGTGGAACGGTGCATACTTTCTAAAGCTCTGTATCAAAATATGGCAAGAAAAAATATATATAGCAAGGATAGCATATGTTGACCTTAGTTTTGATGGAAAGAATGAAGAAGGGAGTTCATATGGATATATCTGTCTGTATCCATCAGAGCTGTATTTATGCCACTAAATGAGCAGGTCTTAGGGTAATAAAGAAGCACAGAACCACATGGGCAGAGTGTTTTTGTTTACACATTCATTAAGAAATAACTGATGAATACTTTCAAATCAGTGTTGCAAAACTTCAATCCTTTGAAGTCTTTCAAGGAAACAACAATGAAGTACTTGAATCAATGCTCCAAGCATCCGTACAAACAACTACAGGAGCTGC